CTTACTATCTGGCGTACGATGTGTTCAAACAGTTGGTCGACTGTGTCGAGTATCTACACGGGTGTCACGTGTGGCACCGGGATCTTAAGCCGGATAACGTGCTAATCGCCATGGATTATACCTACAAGAAACGTTATATTAAGCTTGGTGATTTTGGTTTGGCCAAGTATGTACCGCCGGGTTTGAGTGTAGTGGACAGGGATGCGAGTGCGATGTCTGCCTATGTTAAACATACGGATGATTTGGGTAATGTCCACTATCAGGCGCCCGAAGTACAGACCGGCTGTTATAATCATTTGGTAGATGTGTATAGTCTGGCACTTATAGGCGCAGCACTGTTTGGTTTGGATAGGGATGACATTATTGATGGCAGGTTAGTATATAAAATTCAAGTAAATTGATCTAGCGTATTTATAAAATCCACTTATTCTCCATTTTCCAAAGGCCTGATCCGGAAATTAACTACACTAATAAATATATGCATAATTGGCTGATCGAGATAAATAAACTGTTTATATCGATGACAATCAGCTCGTATTCAGTGTATGGACCCCAGGATTGGCGACAGAGACCGGAATGTGCGGACATTTCCCGAAAAACTAGACGCTTTACCAATACGACCGGCAATTAATCGCAATAATCGCACAGTATTTGAAACGGTTATAAATAGCAAACAACCGATGCTTTATCGGACATATATGGCTCGCAAACCCTATTGCATTATCGCACGATCGGAGCATGGTCAATTATTTTATATTCACTTATAATTATATAACTTAATAAGTAATTTAATCGCATACCTAGATCAAATGACCATAAAGCATCTGAATGAAATCAATTTCAAGCAAATTGATTGTCTTGGTGAATATCACGATGGGAAAATGTACACAGCCAGACACACAATTAACAAGCAACATTTTACTATAATAAAAATTCATGTTCCAGGTATGAACTGTATTTGCGCAAATTAACCAGATTATTTTCACAATATAATTTACTAGAGTTTGCAAAACAATTTAATGCCTGATACAAAGAATTTGCTTATTAATTGAACATGTTATTAATCTTTATTTTAATACAAACTAATAGTCAATGGCAGATTATTCAGCCAACTGGTTGCACAAATAAGAGAGATCATTCAGTATAAATCACCATGGTGTTCGGTGGTGTATTACAACGCGTGGCTTGAAAATGATCACGTGTTCATTCAGGCCAAACACTGCCCGCAAACGCTGGGCGCTATAATACGGGCCAAACGGACACTGTTTGCCAGTCAAGCGGATAAGTGTCGACCGGAAATACTGGCCATAGATTACATGCTATCGCGTGAACTGTTGAGACAAGCGATCGCTTGTACGCCATATGTGCTGACGTCGACCGTCAAGAATAGGTTCGCATACATGAGCGCCGACTGTCTGTTAGTGGCCAACCCTATGGACACGTTTAGGCAACGCGTTAAATTGTGCCATGCTCATTTACACTATGGTAGCAATTATGGTAGAAAATTGTTGGGCAACGATATTTACCATTTGGGTTGTATAGCCCAAGATCTGTTTGAGTGGCAGCTATTGAAGTGAGCTTGTTTAAAAATTGTTATTTTGATAATTTATTTGTTATTATGATTGTATCATGGTATTTATTATTTTATATAGCGAACCAGTGGCGCGTGGTTTGGGTATAAAAATTGATTTGATTAAAACGTTTGTCGAGCGTATGGTTTATGGAAATGATGGTGAAATGGCTGTAATAGATTTAATGACTGAATTTAATGGCATTTTTCACGATGGTAATGATCGTATAAATTATCCACGAAATATTTATACTAGATATTCATTGTCGCGCAACTTAATCAACACGTTTGATTCAAAATCGCGTGATTATGAAATGATTTATGATTTTTTAACCGATAGTATTATAAAATTTTAGTTAATTACATTAAACTGACGTGATAAAATTGCTAGTAAATTTAAATAATTGAAAAATAAAACTATAATATAATTCACTATGATTATAATAAATTTTATTTATAAATAAATATTTATATAATTATAATTTTATATAATTAAAATTTACATTTGCAAAACATATAATTATAATACGTTTATATGAATATTCAAAAATATTTTCTCATATTAAATCAATATTACTTATTGTTAAGTGTTTAATTAACTCCTTTATTACAACCATCAATTATCATTTTATTTTAATTTAGTTTAGTTTAATCTGATTTAGTTTATAAGGTTGTTTAACAAATATTTTGTAATTTAATTCAAGCATACAAATTGCAAAACAATAGTTTTGTTACAAATATAATTATAAAATAACCTTTACAAAAAACTAGATTTTGTCCAAAATTTATGCTCAAAACTTGATCGGCGTTATAATACTGAACAGGATTAAAGGTGTCGGTAATATTGGTCACATCGATGTGATAGTAATTCAAATCTATATCAAAAATAGGTTGTAATTCTGGCAAATCGTTCACATATACCACGTCTTTAATACTTGTTTTCTCGTTGTTAAAGCATTGATGGCTAAAACCGGTGACAATACGACCCAATCTGTATGAGTCAGTTGTGCGCAAACAGTTTTTGGCCGACAACTCCTTGAAGTCATTTGTACGACAATATTCATAGAGACAATCCCTGCTCTCATTGCACAGCACCTCAAAGTATTTGACAAAAACCATAACCGACTGATCCGACTGTATGTCAAAACCAAATAACAAACTCATTTGATGGCCGGTTGTGTTGGCATTGAATTTGTAGACATGAGATATAGGAATAGACTCCGAGTGCTGGCAAACAGTGAACTGCGATCGGGACGTGTCTGGAGTGATGTTAGCGAATGTGTGGCCAATGAATGTGGTGTTGAGAGGTTTGACTGTAACGGTGGCCATAAAGTCAGTCAATATACAGGACACATACATACGTGTGTCGTAACTGATCCACTTCTTACTGATCGTACCGTTGCTCTCATAGCCTATTACTGAACGTACGGATAATAGTAATTCAAGTATTGGTATAAAATACATGTCATTTATTTTGTGAAATCAAATGGTGTGATAATCAGTGGTGACAATAATAAGTTAAGACTTAATGTGATATTAATAGCAGTAATACTGTCAACACTGATGCCAATTAAATATCTTTTGTTACAAATAAATGTGTTAAATTTTAAAATTTTTAAAAACAAATATTATTGATATCTTCTAATAATATTATATTTATGATTAATCCAATAATTTGTAACAATATCTCAATATTTATACTTAAATTAATTGCATATAATAATATAGAAATGTATGGAATGCACATATTTTATCATTACTTGTTAATAGATATTTAAATTCTAATATTTCTCTAACACTATCCGATAAAAATGCATTTTGGGTCAACCGATTTGTTGTGGGTGTGTAATATAGAGCTCATGATAAGAATATCATCAAGATAGATTACGCTGTTTTTATAATAGTGAAAAATTCAATTAAATTCTTGCAATGCATTCACCATTATACTAAGATAACGATATATAAACTGAATGTTTTATATCAAAGTTATGTGTCGTGTTCAATATTCTTACTCCATTTAGTGTTATAACATTTTAATTAATTAAATTAAACTGGCATGATAAAATTGCCAGTAAATTTAAATAATTAAAAAATTAAACTATAATATAATTCACTATGATTATAATAAATTTTAATTATAAATAAATATTTATATAATTATAATTTACACTTGCAAAACAATTGCTTTGTTACAAATATAATTATCAAATAACTTTTACAAAAAATTAGAATTTGTCCACAATTGGTGCTCAAAACTCGATCGGCAATACAGTACTCGACGGGATTGAAAGAATCGGTAGTATTGGTCACATCGATGTGATAGTAATGCAAATCTATGTCAAAAATAGATTGAAATATTGGCACTTTGTTCACATATACCCGGTCTGTGAGACTTGTCTTGCAGTTATGAGAGCACTGGCGGCTAAAACCGGGACCAATACTGGCCAACCGGTAGGACCCGGTTGTGGTCAAACAGCTTTTAGCCGACAATTCATTGAAGTCTTTTGTACGACAATAATCATGGAGACAATCCGTGCTCTCATTGCAAAGCAATTCAAAGTATTTGACATAAACCATAACCGACTGATCCGACTGTATGTCAAAACCAAAGGATAGACTCATTTGATGGCCGATTGTGTTGTCATTGAATTTGTAGACATGAGATATAGGGATAGACTCCGAGTGCTGGCAAACAGTGACCTGCGATCGGGACGTGTCTGGAGTGATGTTCGCAAATGTGTGGCCAATGAATGTGGTGTTGAGAGGTTTGACTGTAACGGTGGCTCTGAAGTCAGTCAATATACAGGACACAAACTTACGTGTGTCGTAACCGATCCACTTCGTACTGATCGTACCGTTGCTCTCATAGCCTAATACTGAACGTATGGATAATAGTAATGCGAGTAATGGTATAAAATACATGTCATTTATATTGTGAGACCAAATGGTTTGATAAGCAGTAATGACAATAATGTTAAGACTTAATGTGATAACAGAGAATAGCAATAATACTGTCAACACAACTGTTAATTAAATATCTTTGCAGATATATTATACCTTGGTATGTTTAAAATTTAAAATATTTTCTCATAATGAATTTTATTTTATAATTACATTATACAGACTTAATGGCTGGTGGCTAGTTACATTATATTTATGATTAATTTAGTAATTTGTAACAATATCTCAATAAAACAATAAACAATAAAATATTTAAAAAATACTTTCTCATATTAAATCAATATTACTTTTAATTAAACAATTAATTATCGTAATGAGTTTTATTAACATTATCATTCTATTTTAATCTAGTTTAGATTAATCTTATTTAGCTTATAAGGTTGTTAAACAAATAATTTGTAATTTAATTCAATCAAACAAATTGTAAAACAATTGCTTTGTTACAAATATAATTATCAAACAACTTTTGCAAAAAATTAGATTTTGTCCAAAATTGGTGCTCAAAACCCGATTGGCGTTACAATACTGAACGGGATTAAAGGTATCGGTAATATTGGTCACATCGATGTGATAGTAATTCAAATCTATATCAAATATAGATTGTAATTCTGGCACATCGTTCACATATACCACGTCTTTGATACTTGTTTTCTCATTATTAAAGCATTGATGGCTAAAACCGGTGACAATACGACCCAATTTGTATGAGTCAGTTGTGCGCAAACAGTTTTTGGCCGACAACTCCTTGAAGTCATTTGTACGGCAATATTCATAGAGACAGTCCCTGCTCTCATTGCACAGCACTTCAAAGTATTTGACAAAAATCATAACCGACTGATCCGACTGTATGTCAAAACCAAAGGATAGACTCATCTGATGGCCGGTTGTGTTGGCATTAAATTTGTAGACATGAGAGATGGGATTGACGTCCGAGTGCTGGCAAACAGTGATCTGTGATCGGGACGTGTCTGGAGTGATGTTCGCGAATGTGTGGCCAATGAATGTTTTGTTGAGAGGTTTGACTGTAACGGTGGCCCTAAAGTTAGTCAATATACAGGACACATACATACGTGTGTCGTAACCGATCCACTTCTCACTAATCGTACCGTTGGTCTCATAGCCTAATACTGAACGTATTGATAATAGTAATTCGAGTATTGGTATGAAATACATGT